CTCTCTAAATTTTAATGATCAGTTTGCATATCTATGTTTTCCTCTATTCATTTATAAATCCCTATCTGTCTTATTAACTGACACAGTAGATCTTATCGAATGTTAATGTGAAATTGGCTTCTTCTCTGTTTATTCTCAAGTGCCTTCGCTATCTCCTCTCCCTCCATCTACCCACTTAATATATTCTCCAGAGTAACTCATTCTTACCCACATTTTGGGCTTTGGTGCCTAGCGACTACTATAATTCACAAGAGCATATTTATATATATATTTTTTTTTTGAGAGGTTTTTGCTATAGGGCATGTGCAATCGCCAGAAAGACAGAGACAGACAGAAAGCGAGAAATCACCCCCCAGGGGGGATGACCACACCGCACTCCCTTCTCCATTCTCCTCTCAGGATCTTGAGCACGCATGCAAATGTGCCTGGCATGAGTTTAAGCCACCAGGTCTGGGACTTGAACGCTGGTTGACTACATGGGAGTCCAGCAACACAGCCATTATACCAACTGCTGGTCTCAACAAGAGCATATTTCAACCTGAAACTTTCACATCAGCTAAGGCTGCTCCTCTCCTGCAGACAGCTAAGATAAAGACTCTATCTCTTCCATTCCCAAACTGCCCTCCTGCTTCCAAAGTTCAGTCAGTGGGGTCACCACCATCCACCCACCTGCACAAGCTACAAACCTCAGTGTTGCCTAACTCTGTCCTGCAGGGTGACAAGCTTTGAAACTTCAAACCCTGCTTCTGGATCTTTATTTCTCCTATTTCATCTACCTGAAATGCCTCCCACTACTTTGTCTCAAATCCTATTCTTTCTTTGAAGTTCAGAAAACTGGTTAACTCGGGGGCCAGCAGGTGGCATGATGGTTAAGGGCACTGGACTCCCACATGGCCAACCGTGGTTCGAGTCCTGAACCTGGTGGCTTGCTTTCTCACTTTCCCTCTCTCTCCCCCCCCCCTCTCTGTCTGTCTGATCAAACTGGAAAATAATAATAATAAATAAAGTTAAATAAATAAATTTTAAAAGAAAAAAGAAAACTGGTTAACTCCAATTCATTGCTTCCTCCTCTGAGTTCTGCATAGCTTGTTGCTGATCCCAACATGTCTCCCTTGCTATTCTGCAAAATTCTTGAGGGTGGTCATTGTTCTTTGATCGCTGGGTCTGGTCAATGATATTTTAGGCAATTAAAAATACACTTTATGTAAATGAGTAAATAAGTGAACTGGGAAAATATTTTTAATTATACTCTTCTAGAGATTACTGCGAGAGATTCTTTCAGTTAAAAGGACAATCACTCAGTTTAAAAACAAAAGCCAAGTCAACAACATATAACAATAGATACACACGTATAAAAGGCAGGTAATTCCTATTTATCTAGGGAGTTTTGGGGGTTTTGGGGGATTTTTTGTTTTGTTTTGAAGCCAGTGGGTAGGTGTACTGGCAGAGGTGCTGAGCCTGGTGTAAGTGGGGGCGGGGTGGCAGCAGGGGTAATCATGCCCAGTTGGTCATGGTCAGTCCACAATCCCTCTTTCTCTACTTCTATATCCTATCAGAATTTGAGGCACACATACATACTCAGCATCTTTGTTTACTTGTTTTTAAAGAATTATTTTAACTTTATTATTATTTTCTAATTTGACCAGAGATAGAACGAGAAAGGAAGCCATCAGGTTGGAGGCTTAAACCATGGTCAGCCATGTGGGAGACCAGCATCTTTAACCACCAGGCCACCTGCTGAGTCCACACTCAGCAAGTTTTACAAGCCATCAGAGTGGGATTGTAACTACTTAGTCGTGCACGTGTAATCCAACTCCTTTAACCACTAGGCCATGGTGGGGAGTTGTTTTTTTGTTTTGCTATTGTTGTTTTGTCCTTCTTTTTCTTTTTAAACCTGTCCTGCAGAATCTGATTTTAGGCATCAGTTCTCACTATGGACACATTGGAAAAGAGAAGGTATTATATTAATCTCTTCTGTACTTTTGTCTTCTATCCTGGTGACAAGAATTATAGAAGGCATAAAACAAGAAAAAATGCCTGTCTGGTACAGTGCCTGGGCACTTGGTATGCTCTCAATACATCTTAATTCCTTCCCTTTTTCCTACCGCACCTTCATTTCGTATTGGAGGCCTCATGAATACAAAGTATCTATAGGAAATTTTAATGTTTGGATTTGAATTTGACCAAAAACGAAGTCGTGGAAATTCTGATTGCTCCTATTAACCCATGACACGCAAACCTAAGAAAAAGAAATAGCAAGAGGGGGAGGGAAGAAAGAAAGCAGTGCGCACAATGAAACGAAAGGCGGAGAGGAAGCTGTAGAAGGAAGCGTTTTGGGTTGGGTTTGTCTCTTTTTAACCCCCGAGAGGCGTGACGCGCTGACTGCTGTTGCGGGTTAGTTTCCCCCAGCAGAGCGCCCGCCTTCCCGCTTCCGCCCGGCGGTGCGCTGCAGGCCGCGGCCGCTGGGGGCGCCCCGGGCCGGGAGGCACTGGGGCTGGGGCGGGGGCGGTG